GGAGTAGGGTCACAGGCAGCTGGTCTGCAAGGGGAGCTAGTTTTTAAACTGGCTCCCCTCACAGGTGCTCCCACCTGGCATCCCGAACTGATGCCTTTGATACAGAGACAGCAGTTCAGAGTGGCAGAGGGCTCCTTGGGTGTGGATCAGAATACACTGGCTGCCGGCCCCACCCCCAGGCACTATAGAATAGTCGAGTAGCTGATAAGAATTCATCAGGTTAATCGACTATTTATTTAACTGGTATTTAACATCCCTAATTGTCTTAACTATTTTGAAATGCCCTTTTTGTTGTTGGTTAGTACCACACCAATGTCCTCTTTGTTGTTGGTTAGTACCGCATTAGAGTTTTGAATGTCTAATTAATTCAGATGATATGATTCATACATCTTCATCTCTGTGCCTCTCCTCCTCTGTCTCACTGGTAATTATAGGGTTGGGTAATTAGAGGAATTACCCACCCTTACAGTCTTATTATTTTTTACCTTCCTTCCCTCGTCTCATCTTTAAGCAGAAGTTTATTCTCATGTCTTCTCTTTGCCCCGGAGGTCTGTACAATGTCCCTAGTGCTATCTTTATTTTTAGCCTTGTCTAGTTGCTTAATCCCAAATCGATTCATTATATTTCTCTGAGGTTCACTATTGCAATTTTTCAGCTCCAATTTTTTCTCCTGATACACAGCTCCATTTCTTCCTCTGTCTCGTACTTTTGTCTTCCAGAAACTCCCGAAGCCCTGTACACAGAATTAATACCCTGCCTTGGGAATAAATCTGTTTCTCATGTAACTGCTACAGTAACATGAATTTTGATTAACAGATGCTTGATGTTTGAATATTGTACTTCTGTAGAAGTGTCCCTAAAAGTAGTGTCATAGTTGCAAACTAGATGAAGATGGATGCCATGAATATTTTATAATTCAGTTCATGGATGGTGCTTCTAAAGTATAGATTTCATATTTCCATTCCATGGGGAATCAGCAACACTGTTGCTAGATTCACATTACTTTTATTAATAGTTCCACTAGTCTGATCCTCAATTTTAATTATTACAATATCATAGAATTTTAGGACTGAAAGGGTATGTCTAGACTGCATCCCTCTGTCGGCAGAGGGATGCAGATTAGGCAGGTCAACATTGAAAATGAGGCAGGGATTTAAATATTCCATGCCTAATTTGCATAAAAATGGCCACCACATTTTGCCGACTCAGCACTTTGTGAGGAAAAAGTAGCAGTCTAGAGGGGGATCTGTCGAGAAAGAAAGTCTTTTTTGACAGATCCCTTATGCCTCCTGCAAGGAGGTTTATAGGATCTGTCAAAAAAGGCTTTCTTTCTCGAAAGATCCCCCTCTAGACTGCTGCTTTTTGCCAACAAATTGCTGAGTTGGCACAACGCGGCAGCCATTTTTATGCAAATTACGTGCAGGATATTTAAATCCCTGCCTCATTTGCAATGTCGACCTGCCTAATCTGCATTCCTTTGCTGACAGAGAGATGCAGTCTAGACATACCGAAAGAGACCTTGAGAGGTCATCCAGTCTCCTGCACTCCTGGCAGGATTAAGTATTATCTAGACACCTGCAACAGGTGTATGTGCTCTTAAAAATCTCCAGTGATGGAGAGTCTGCACCTCCATAAATGTATGCTGCATGTCTGTACTGTGTTAATTGCACATCTGCTTGCGAGGGACCTTGAAGGCAAAGTTCGTTTTGGGATCTGATCATCCTCAATGATTGAGGTGTGGAGATCCATAGTTTGGGAATGCAAGGACTGCAATACAGGATCTAGAGCTAGCCAAAACTTGGGATTTCAATTTTATGAGTAATTCCAGAATTGAATGGACACTTGTCAGCCAACGGTCAGGGCAGTGTGTGTGTGTGTGTGTGAGTGTGTTAGTGGGAAAAGGTTTAACGTCCGTGACTTTACCGCTAGGACCGGGGTTCCGTCGCGGAGGGCAGCCAACAGGCTGACGGACGCCCCAGGGTTTATAGGAAGAGCTTATTACATCTCAGATTTCAGCTGCTGGGATACAGGATCCCTTCGCAGTGGGCAGTCTAGGGAAGACTAAGAGATCTGTCACCTGGGAGTGACATGATCCAAAACGCCCAAGCTCTTCCTATACCTGTCCCTTATGACCGGCTGAAGTTCTTTTAAATTATGCTTGGTTCTGTTACAGCAACTGAAGGAGTCAGGTTAAAGCTTAAACAGTTACAGGTTTATTGTTACAGGGTAAACTTAGCTGTTAAATGCTACTGCTGTGTTACAGATAACACAGCCACTACAAAGGACAGGACAGAAATTACACTAATAAGTCACTTACAGGAACCATGAAACCCTTTTGGTTCTCTGAGCTCTTATTAAATGCATGCAAAATAGACACCTGGCAGGTATATATCCTCACCCCTGTGTTCCAGACTTGGCGTGGCCAGCGTCTTTCTCTCAATCCCTCGGGAAGAAGTAGGGTGACGTTGGGTGTCCCACAGACCTCAGGAGACAATCAATACCTGCCAGCAGACAATGCAGACAATGGGCACCTCTGGTATGTGATGGGCGAAGATTCCTCTCCTGGGACAGTGCAGGCATGTCAATTATTGGTACTAGCCATCAGGGTGATGGGAGGCCTCCCAGTCATCAGCTAGCCCATTTACTGTCTAGTTTCTGTTTATGGTAGAGTCAGGGACAGGGAGGCCACCTGTGTTCCCAGAGCACCTGCGCTCCGGGGGGGGGGGGGACAAGATGGGGTTCATGTCTGGCTATAACACTGGAGGTACATCTGCATAGCAGCATTATTCAGGAATAACATCTACACTACAAGCCTTTTTTTTTTTTTTTCAAAAAGACCTCAAGCTAGAGGACTTCTTACTCTTACTCCTGGTAATCCTCATGTCACAGGGAGTAAAGAAAGTCGAAGGAAGAAAGCTCTTCCTTCAACTTCCTGCTGTGTAGACAGCGCCTAAAGCAGAATTAAGCTATTTCGACTTAAGCTACACAATTGACATAGCTGAAGTTCTGTAGCTTAATTTGACTTTAGCCCTGCTGTGTAGACATATCCTGGAAGTCCATCCCAGCATCTCTAGGCTACCGGCCACACAATGGTGAGCTTGAACATCCTGAGAGCTCTTAGGGTTTCCAGGCTGTCTGTTGCTGAACTAGATACCTAGACTGTCCTGAGCTGGGTCTTTAGAGCTTCTATGCTGCCATCTTCATAGCTAGGGGACAGAAAGCCCGGAAAGACTGGGTCAAAATGAGGTTCTCAAGGTTTCCAAGCTCCTTGCTGCAGAGCCAGCAGCTAAGTTCTTTCAAGGGCTCTCGGGTTGCTCCTCTTGGAAACTATACCACTTGCCTAGGAGGAGGGGAAATTCTGGGTAAGAGATGGAGTAATTAAATATAGAGCCATGACACCAATGGGGGAAAAAAGATGTTTCTTAGCAAGTTATGAATTTCTGGTACTTAGCAAAAGAAGCGGGGAATGGGGGAGAGAGAACATGTTTCTTTTTATTTTGGTAGTTTTCTGCCATTTCCCACAGGAAACTTTCTACATAGTTAAAAATGCTCCAACAAAACCACACTGTAATTTTCTCCTTAAAATAAATGAGTTCAAACACTGAATTTACAAGCAGAAAGTACTTGGTGGTTTTCTAGTCTCCATTTGTTTATCACCCCCTGTGACGGCGCGTCAGGTTTTTCCCATCTCCTGCACCCCTGTAATGGCACGGACAGACTCCACCAGCCAGTAGAATAGAGGAAGTTTATTGCTTCTCCAGGATACAACACAGCACAGATGTAATCTGGCTACTGGACAGGCCTAGGATGCCTCAGCCCCCCTTGAGATGGGGGAGACTGGGCCCCTAAATTCCAGCCCCTTTCCCTAGGCTGTCACCTCCATGCTCCCAGACAGAAACTAACTCACTCTTCCAGCCCTGCCCCCAGCCAGGGCTCCACTCCGCCTTCTTCCCATTGTTCCGCTCCCTGGGAGATAGCTGGTCAGACAGGTTTGGAGCCCCCTTGCATAATGACTCATCCCCTGCCCTGCTGGGCCATGCTACAGACAGCAGCCAGTGGAGGTCACCCACAGCCCACTGCCCAGCATAGCAACCAGTAAGGTACCCATACTACGTCACACCACCAAACAGTATTTATAATTTGGCATCATTCAGGTCAGGAAGTTATTATTGGAGAAGGGCCTGAAACTGTTGTAAGTCAGGGTTGAGGTGCATTATGTCAAAGGAATTGTCCAGACTTTGCCAGTCTGGTGTCCCAGCTCAAGCAGTATGTGATAATACTCACTAAAATCACTCACAAGTTTAAAGAGAAGGTAAAAAAAAAAGTTCTGGGAAGTAATTTTTCCTTCAATGAAAATAGAAATAAAAATGATGTTTAGAGACGGAGTATGTGATGCTTATAATCATGGTTGTAACTCTTCCAAAAACTGTATTTGCCTATAATGTTGAAAGTTGCATTTCCCCTCCATGCCATTGTGCATCTTTATTACTTTTATTTTCCCATAGCCAGAGACCTCCTATCCCAATCTTAACTAAAACTACCCACTAGAGCTGCATTAGCTATCATTTTGATATTGTTTGTTCAGTATTGATGCAAAGTTAATGTTTTAAAGTCAGGCTGAAATCTTCCCTAATGCAGTTTTGCAAGTTACAATTTGAGGTTTTAGCCATCCATTCTTTCTCTGGTTTGTATTCTCCTGGGAAGTTTATGGCCTACTTCTGGAATGCTGAATGAATATTAAGAAAATGCTGTTGGCTTTAGGACATGGGAAACTTGAGAAATGCTCTAAACATTGAAATTCTGTAAAAGAGGTGTGTTCTCTGATCAATCTGTGTGCGTAATTCCCATTGGCTGGGAACTGGAAGCACACAGCAAGAGCACAGAATTTCCAGTATAATATGTACTTAAAGAAAAACTAACATAATTAATGATAAGTAAGATTTGGTACTATATTTTCATTACTTCTTCAAACAGATGTCTCTATATTCACAGATCTGACTTGGCAAATCGTGTTTGGGAGGGACCAGTTAGCGTTTGAGGGCAAGGGGCTCTGTACAACAGGTTTCCCTTCTCATCTATGGGCCCAGTAGCACAGAGAAAGTGGTGTTCCTGTTGCACTATAGAATCTTCATGATGGAAGGTGAGCGCACAGTGAATAAAGGCCCTGAGAATGTGTGCATTTTCCTTATGCTGCTTACAGAAATGTAACAAAAAAGTGCTATTTTGTACCACTTTCTAGTTATGTTGTTGAATGTATAGAAATGCCTCATAGGGTTAATTAATACAAAAATAATCCACATGATAATGTGGTTGTGAGTATTAGTTAAAGCACTTCGAAGAGGAAAAGTGTCATCATGATGCTAAATATTATTGAATACTTAATTATCCACAGGTTCTCTGTTACCCATTTGGGTTATTTTCTTATTGGGGTGCATAAACTCTGAGCTGTCCATTCTAAAAATCAAACATTGAATTTCTGAACAGCGGAAGACATTTTAAATACTATTGATTTCAAAAACTGTTCTCTCCAAAGGCTTGAATCCGGTGCCATTGAAGTCAGTAGCAAAAGTCCTATTGACTCCTGTGAAGCAGGAATAATCCCAGGTCCAGACTTCTTTCATAATTATTATTTATATAGCATTATATATAATTTACAATAGTATCCTTAGGGTTTCCTCTTTGCATCTAAAGGTACCCTTTTTTTTTTTAAAGGAAGACTTTATTTATAATTATAAAACATTTTAAAATGTATTGTTAGGGGGCTTGGGAGCACTTTCTCATTTTTCCCACTTAGCATCCATTTTCTTTCCCCCTTCGGCAGGCCTCTTCCTTCTAATATCCACATTTCTATGAGTTTAAGTATCCTTAGGGTTTCCTCTTTGCATCTAAAGGTACCCTTTTTTTTTTTAAAGGAAGACTTTATTTATAATTATAAAACATTTTAAAATGTATTGTTAGGGGGCTTGGGAGCACTTTCTCATTTTTCCCACTTAGCATCCATTTTCTTTCCCCCTTCGGCAGGCCTCTTCCTTCTAATATCCACATTTCTATGAGTTTAATACTATCCTGATGTTTTTATGATCTCTTCCCCTTGAAGATAATATCTATCTCTGTTCATCCCTTCCTACCCACAGCCCTGAGTTCACTAGTTAAAGCAGTCATATCATGTAAACAACTTGAGGAAAAGGAAAGGCAGATGGATTTGAACCCTACCATCAGAAGATGGCTTCCTCCTCTTTGCTCCCCCTCCCCCATACACATCAGAAGCACTTGATATAAGTACCTTACCTGTCCCAGGTATTTCAGCTGCTGCTTCATCCAGGGCAAGGGAACAATATCCAGGGCAAGGGGACACAGGAGACCTTCAAACCAGGCTCTTAGGGAAGTGCATTCAATGATGTTACAGTAGTGTTCATAATTGAGTCCTCTCTAAGTTAAAAGATGACATCCCAACATGAGCTCATTTAAAATTGACCTTTTTAATATGTTACAGCAGCATATTATCTTAAGCTTTTAGCCATGTTGGCTCTTAAATCAGGGTCTAGATGTAAAAGGCCATTACAGAGTCCTTGACTTACATATTTCACAAGAGACCATTTCAAATGTTTTCATGGTTAATGCTCAGAGCATTCAGGGCTATTTAGAGGAGAGATCAAGAAAGCTGGTGACAATTCAGTGTCTTTGCATGCTGTATTCCACTGGCTACAAATATTCAGTAATGTGAGAATAAGCAAAGTTAAATAAATAATGGTTAAAATGTAATGCTATGAAATTAAAAACTGTGATTTTTTGCTGTGAAATGAAATGTAAATCTTTTTTTTTAGTTCAAGATAAATTTTTGACCTGTGTGTCAGATATTCATTAATTACTAAATTTCATTATAAGTTTATAGTTTTATGCTTCTAAAATATTCTTTCCTATAGGAAAACATGAGATATTTTATTGTTTTTCAGAAAATTGTGGAAATAATGACTCGTCTTTTCAATAATTTACACAGGATAACTTCTTGATAAGTATCAGAGGGGTAGCCGTGTTAGTCTGAATCTGCAAAAGCGACGAGGAATCCTGTGGCACCTTATAGACTAACACACATGCATCTGACGAAGTGGGTCTTTGCCCACGAAAGCTTATGCTCCTACACTTCAGTTAGTCTATAAGGTGCCACAGGACTCCTCGTCGCTTTTTCTTGATAAGAAGATTCAGCATGGCCTTTCCGCCATTCCCTCCCCCCTCTTTGAATAAAAAGGATTTGGACATTTTGGATACTCAGAAAGCAAGGGAACTTTTCAAAGCAGAACACAGACAATGCTTATTAAGTGCTGCTATACCACCTGTATTAGGTGTTGTAGTTCTCTTGACCATATAAAGGTTTTTAAGGAGGAGGTAGAAAAATTGTTCTCCTTGGATTCTGAGGATAGGACAAGAAGCAATGGGCTTAAATTGCAGCAAGGGAGGGTTAGGTTGGACATCAGGAAAAACTTCCGGCCTGTCAGGATGATTAAACACTGGAATAAATTGCCTAGGCGGGTAGTGGAATCTCCATCACCGGAGATACTTAAGAGCAGATTAGACAGACACCAGTCAGGGATGATCCAGACAGTGCTTGGCCCTGCCATGAGGGCAGGGGACCAGGGACTCTCAAGGTCCCTTCCAGTTCTAGTGTTCTATGACTTTATGATTTAAAGCCTGAGTTTGGTGCCTCACTTTTGTATGATTCTGTTCTCTCCAGACACTGCTGTTCTCCATGTTTCTAAAGTTCAGAGTGCCCTGCAACTCAAATCATTCAAGACACTTCCCTAGTCCTTGGAGAGAGATTTATGGCCAAACAGCGTTGGGACACTTCCCTCACCACCGCTTAAACTAAAGGTGAGCAAATACCAGCCTGTGGGATGGATCCAGTTCACCAAGGTTAGCCTCAGTCGGCTGCCACCACTATATTTATCTGCATCTCTGCAAGTATGGATGGTTGCAGCTCCCATTGGCCATGAATGGCAATCTGCAGCTATTGTTAGCTGCAATCACCTGTACCTGTGGAGGCTCAGGTAAATATAGTGGTGGTGGCCCACCAGGAGCTAATCCTGGTCAACCACCGCTAGTTTATTGCCACACCTGGCTTAAACTGAAAGATTGAAAATACATTTGGGGGACAAGGAGTGGTTAGACAAAGATTTTAAAAATGTGATTTCTAACAACTTTACATATCTGTGTTTGAATATTGCAACTGTGCGATAGGAAGCAAATCTTTATCTAACCTAGACATTTATTTTTATCTGTTGGAGGGGAAGTTGAGGGAGAGAAGTCCAGTTTGTATAACTCTGTGAGAGCATTCCATCCTACTCTTGTGGAACTCTGATTCTTGAGGAGCTAAGGATTGGTTTAGTCTATATTAGAGAACTATCACAGGGTGATGGCACTTTGAGAGGAAATGGGAGCCAGTGCACAGTTGATCTTAGTGGAAGATACCAGGACCTTAAGGGTATGTCTAGACTATATTCCTCTGCCGCCAGAGGGATGTAAATTAGACATACTGAAATTGCTAATGAAGCGGGGATTTAAATATCCCGCGCTTTGTTAGAATAAAAATGGCCACCACTTTTTGCTGTCAGTCGACAAGGAAAGCCTTTTCCGACCGATCCTGTAAACCTTGTTGGCACGAGGCATAAGGGATCGGTCAGAAAAGGCTTTCCTTGACAACCGATCCCCATCTAGACTGCCGCTTTTTGCCGGAAAATTGCCGCATCTGCAAAAAGTGGCGGCCATTTTTATTCTAACGAAGAGCAGGATATTTAAATCCCCTCTTCATTAGCAATTTTGATATGTCTAATTTACATCCCTCTGGCGACAGAGGGATGTAGTCTAGACATACCCCAAAAAGGCAGAGTCAGAAGCAGGTGAGGTAGGCTTCCCTCCTACCTCTTGAAACCACAAGAAGGAAGTGCGCTTCTAGACTAGAGGAAGCTGTGGTAGATCAGGAGGCTTCTAAGGAGAACCCTGAGTAATGGGGGAAGGCCAGGAAAGCAGCAGAGGTGATTTGCCTGCTGACCTCTTTAAGTCAGGGAAGATATGTCCACACAGCATCTGGGAGTGAGCTTCCCAGTTGAAGTCCACAGGTTTGTTGTGAGTGGGGCTAGTGCTAGCATGCTAAAAATAGCTGTGTGGATGTCACTCCGAAGCTGGTGGTGGGCTTGAGGCCAAGGTTCAATTTGAGCTTTTGTTTTGGTGGTGATGGACTTCATTTTGAGGACTATTTTGACCTGTTTATGTTGTTAAATTAGCCCCAAGCAGGGGTGGTGGTAGACACAACAAAACATGCATGAAGTTTACTACATAGCCCTAAGAGAAGGGGAAACAGTCCTTTGCAGAGCCAACCCAAGCCACATGGCTATGCTAGGGAGATGATGCACCCTGTTACATGGACTCTTTGGTTACTCCAATTCATGTCTAGGTGACCACACCCCCAGAAGCTAGAAGAGCTGAAGTGCAATAGTGCCTTTGTGTTGCCGCTTTGCTTTTGTTACATCCCGTATGCCAGAACTGAGAGAGAGGATGGCCCAGAGTCACTTTAGCAGCTTTAAGCCCCCAGAATAGTTCCAGGTAAAACACCATCAAAACTATTGTTAAATCATGTCAGATAGTATGGATTTAAAAATATTTCTTACAGATTTGCTGATACGCACAACAGAACTTTGACTGTGAAAAGAATCCAGCAAATATTTTGTTGCTGAAAATTAGAATAGGGTCTTGTTCAGGCAATCACATAACTTGACGTCCAGTGTAATGAATATGTTAAATAAATAGCCACAAGACGCAGAAAATACATGAAACATATTCCCTGGAATCTGCTATGACACTGAATTTTTCTTTTGGGCATTTCTAATTTAAAGTTTATTCTAGTATATGTGTACCCCTCTATCCTAGTTAAGAAAAAAATGTGTACCTATGAATAAAAAGTAGTAACAATAAAAGCACATTTGAAAATTATAAAAGTAAAAAGCATACTCCTCGACTGCAGAATATTCTAAATGTTTGAGGCAATTGAATAACACATGCCTGGCTATGCCATACCTGAGTAATGCAGTTGCCCTGTACTTGTGCTATTAGAAATTGTAATAATGGCATCATATGAACACATTACATTAGGGATTAATTTGGCCCAAAGCATTCCATTACAAAACAGAGTAGGATTCAATGTGTATGTTCAAATGAAACATCCAGCATCTGCTATATGTATCTAGAATGAGCCCTAGCTATTACCATATATTTTCCTTGTTAAAATGATTTTTGAACTTTTCATGACATTGCTGCTGGAAGTGATACCAGACCATATTTAATAGTCAATGCTCATTTTAGTATTGCTTATTTTTATTACAAATTCTGATTTGTAAAATGCATAAGACACTATGAAGGTATTATAGTACTACTTGAATACTTGCTGCTATTTAATATCTACCTTATAGTTGTACTGACTATAGTTTCATTGTGTCAGCCATTGTAGGAAGACATGGTTCCTGATCTAAAGAGTTTAGTCTAAGTGTAAATTTACCTGATCTTTGTCTCTATGCTGTAAAGTCAGGCAAAACCTGTTAAATTGTCTAGAAATTAATTAACTTTTCTTCATGTGTTAATTCTTAATTATAAAGCACCCAAAAATATGCAGTAATTCAGTTTGCTCCATTGACTCAATATCTTGGCCTCAATTCATGCAGTGGAATATTTAAGGGATTATTTCTTTGGGGTATTTTATTTAGAGCAACTTCAACGTGCTCAGCACTCCTATAACATCTTGTGGTTTCACATACATCAAAGACTTTATTCTCATGACATTTCTAGAAGCATTATCCTCATTTTACAAATCAGGACCCCAGAGGCAGCTAGTGAAAACCAATCTCCTCAAAAGCTGCTATTGGGTTTGGGTCCCAAATTGAGCTACAGGTGTCTCATGTTGGGCAAACAAAAAGAGCCACCCACAATTCTAACATTTTAACATGAGTTAAGGCCTACCTACATGGGGATATAAAGGAATATTAATCTGAATGGTTTAAAAAAATAGATTACTTGTCATAGATTACATTTGAAAGTTTTGACAGAGCTGTGAGTAAATCCCAGGTCTCCTCTTACGGAATCTTGCTAGTTAAAGGAATGGAGGGAAGGGGGACTTTTCTTTTAATTAATATTTTATTTTTAAAACAAAATTAAGTTTTACAAAATCTGTGAGCATTCTTCAGTATGTATTGATATATAGCAACAGCTGCTGCATATAATTTTTGCTTAGAGAGTGAACTTCATTTTTTGTTTGATATTAATGGCTCCTGTGAGTAGGGCCAGCCTGACCATATAGGCAAATTAGGTGTTCGCCCAGGACTCCAGGCTTTAAAGGATGCCAAATTAGACTGAAGTACATTTTTGTCTCTATTTAAAAAATATATGAATATAGTATCTCTTATGAACAAAAGTATCCAGTATGGTATTTGTAATCAGTGCATCATGTCAGAAGCTGAGTTATATTATTTATTTCACATTGTGGAGAATGGTTGTGTATGTAAATACAATTAAAATGTGTCATGGCATAGTTTCAAAAGAGCACCCCCAAGATTTGCTGCATGGGAGCAGGGTCTGGCAGCTCCTCTTAATGAAGGCCGGTCTGTGACCTGCAACAGCTGTTCTGCCACGTGATACCTCTGTGTCCATACGGTTGTATTGAATTGTACGTGAAAAATGTGATGAGAGTTTTAACAAGATTGTAAAAGGAAATTCACAGGTATTTGTAAGTTTAAGATTGCGTATTTATTGTAGACTATTGTTAAAGTAATAGTAAAGCCCTGATTTTTGAACATCTGACCATTAACAAACACCACTCAACATATACATTTCTTTCCATTTTAATTGAAATGGTGTTTGATGATAATAGAAATTCTGATCCTCTGTTTAATTTTTTTAATACAGGTTGGACCTCCTTGGTCCAACATCCTCGGGACCTGACCAGTCCTGGATGATGGATTTTGCTGGACCAGGGAAGGTCATTCTGCCCCATCCCCTTGTTACTGCCCCCTCAGCCATGGCCTTGATGCCAGCCTCCCAGCTGGCTTCCCCCTGCCCCCTCCACATTCAGGGCTCCTGGCCCCATCGTGTAGCCCTGCTGCTGGCATGCACAGCCCCACTGCTGAGCTCACAGCACAGCCCTCCTGCTGGGGTCTAGCTGTGCTGCCGGGCGACAGCCCCACTTTGGCTTTGGCCTCACCACCCCGCAGCCTCACCGGGCAGCTCTGCAGGTGGCATTGGAGCTGCTGGGCTTTTTGCTGTGCTGCCAGGCAACAGCCCCTCTCCCAGGTTCCTGGCCCCACCGCCAGACTGCCCCGTGGTCAGGTTCTTGGCCCTGCAGGGCAGTGATGCTGCATCCTAAACTTGGGCAGCTGTGCCACTTGGCAGTAGCAGGGATGCTGGGCTCCTGGTTGTGCTGCTGGGTGGCCCCTCTGCTTCCTGCCCCTACCCTCCACAGTGTCACCACTGGGCAGCAGCCCTACTGCAGGGCTCCTGTTTTGCTGCCACAGGGCATCCCCAGTACTAGGCTCTAGCCTCAGTGCAGAGCTCCTAGCCTTCATGGGGACTCTCTGGTCCTAGGACATCTTTGGTCCTGGCAGACCAGGGATCTTGCCAGACCAAAGAGTCCCAGTTGAGAGTTTCAACCTGTAGTTGTAAGTGAACATTGAAATTCTCTTTATATTTTTCAGAGTTTGTCTGTCTGTGTTTGTTCAAAAACTCCTCCTAAATGGTAACAGCTAGGACCACCAAATTGAGTATTAGCGTGTTAAGATTAGTCGACTATATTATAAACAAATGCTTATCGAATAGTCAGTCAACTAGTTGATTTCCTCCTCCCCCCCCCCTGCCTCTATCAGATAGAGGCAACAAAGCGGGGGGGAGAGCTGAGTCAGGATCAGCTGTGCAGCGCTGTTCCTTTGAAACACCACCTCAGTGTTTCAAAGCAGCAGTGCCGTCTGGAGCCCAGGGTCAGCTGGGGACTCCCCAGCTGATCCCGGGCTCCATACGGTATTTCCGTGGAACCCAGGATCAGCTGGGGGTCAGCTGAGGAGTCACGGAACCCATGGTCAGCTGGAGAGTCCCCAGATGATCCTGGGTTCTGTGTGGCATTTCTTTGGAACCCAGGATGTGCTGGGGAGTCCCCAGCAGACCCCAGGCTCCATGTGGCATTTCAAATCAGCAGCATAACATGGAGCCCGGGGTCAGCTGACCCTGGGGACTCTGACCCTGGGCTCCATGAGAGTGCTTCTGCTTTGAAATGCACAAGAGCCCCCACTGGGGACTCTTATACATTTCAAAGCTGGCTCCTGTGCAGTGGGACTTCCCGCTGGCCCCAGGCTGCACGCGGTGTTTCGCATTCCTCCTTTGAAATGTACAAGAGCCCCGAAGAGGCTTTTGTATCCACTGGAGCTGCAGCAGCTATGAAGAGGTACTTCTCACCTGGCCCCAAGCTGCTGCGGTAGTCCTCTCTCCCTGGGGCAGCCTGCATACTGAACCCTAATCTGCAGCCCCATCCCAGAGCAATGATTTACATGAAGAAAAACAAAAATTAATTGAGTTAAGAACCTGAGCAATGACAGGTAAATCTTTAGTGATAAAATAAATTAAAATTTACCAGATTTATGTTACTATGGTTTCATTGGATACAGGGATATTCTTAGGATTTATAGTGCCCTACCCATTACTATTAAACTGGTGGCCTTATGCTCAATGGCACACTAATGAAGTATTTTTTAAACAAATTTTAAATAAAGGTCCCGTGTACTAACACAGTAAATTCAGAAACTGACAGTATATACCTGGGGTTGGCAAATGCCCGTTAAATAGATTCATTGCCACTTGAATGGCTCTTTCATGGGTTAAATATCTGCTTACAGGTCTGGCAGGCTTTTTCAATTTTAGGTTATCTAGATTTTTTTTGAGGAAGCAGAGCCACAGAACAGGAATAAAAAGAGGTGAATGGATGGATGTTAAGACCCAATGGTGTCCCAGATTATCAGGTGCCCTATGCAGCTGCCTAGTGTGCATATGTGTAAGGACAGCTCTGATCGCATGTGCAGGAAAAAATTTCAATAGACAGAGAGCTAAATGCTCTAGTGTCCATGGCATTTCAAATTCATAATTTTTCCCTTTCCATGCATTATTTACTCCACATTTAACTATTCTTACTATTCATTTTGATTCATTTACCTTTTAGTTTGACATAAAGGATATTCTACTTTACTATCATTCTCTATTTTGATAATTTAGTTGAAACGGTTGCTTAAAATTTTTCAGAAAATCAACATTGTGGCAGATCAAAAGAATCTATCTGGAGCTCAGTATCGTAAAAAGGAAAGCTGAGCTGACAAAAGAGCAAGCAAAGCAAAAAGGTTCCTTCTCCAAATAGCTTCAATTTGACAAACACCAAGATGGAAGCAGTTCACAGCATTAAGATGGAGGCAACTTACAGCATCAAACTAACACTGAAGTTGAGCAGATGTGTTCATCTGCAGACACTTGTGCCAATGTTGAGGTAAAAAAAAAAAAGATAAGAAGGGAGCAGAAGGTAGATTTGTGGAAGATGAACTTGCAAGCAATTTACAATACAGAGACCCTGCAATGTGGCCTACAAGTGATGTTCATGTATGACGAATTCTAATGGAACTTGAACCTGAACAAGTTCAAAAAATTCTTTTCCTGAAAGATGGACTTAAAATTCTCTGCACACCACTATAAGACAGAATTTGCCAATAGGGAAGAAAAACCTTGACAGAGGTTATAATATTCAGTGTCAAAAGACTCAGGGTTTTGCTTCGGCTGCAAACAGTTTAGCAGTTATGCAATTGGTACCCCACTTACTGAAAATGGTTCAAAGAATTGAAAAAACATGTCTTCAGTTCTGTATTCTCATGAAAAAGGTCCTGGACTTTTGAAAAATTTACAAAATTGGAAAGAACTTGTACATGATTGAAAAAACAGAAGACGAAAATAAGAGCAACTGGTTTCTTTTGTGAATTCTCTGTGAGCAAAACCTGGCATTTCACGGAACAGATGAAAAATGGTAATAGAAACTCATTGAATACCTATCTTTGTTTGATCCAGACATGAAGGCGCATCTGCATAAAATAAATAACCATGAAACTCGTGTTCATTACCTTGGAAAAACTTTGCAGAATGAACTGATTCAACTCCTAGCAAAAGCTATTAACGAGAAAATCTTAAAAGATGACCATTGCACAAAATACTTCTCATTAATTCTGGATTGCACAACAGATAAGAGTCATATTGCTTTGTAGATGTGTCAGAATCTGCAGCTGAGGCTAATGCTGAAGTGATCCTAAAGGAACATTTTGGGGGTTGTATTGAGGAAGAAGATGACTGTGCTTTAATGACTGAACATATTCTATGAGATCTTGAAGGACTGTCATTATCTACTGAGAACTTACTGTATATACTTGTTCATAAGCTGCATTTTTGGGAAAAAAAAATCCTACTGTGAAGAGCGGGGGTCAGCTTATGAACAGGTTTATCATTTTTTCCACTGGGGAGAGGGTTTGGCAAACTTCCCACAGCTCCCATTGGCTAATGGGACCCTACCCACTGGTCTTCTATCTTAGCTTCATGTAGCTCAGCCATACAGTCTGCCCTGCCCACCTGCCACTGTGATCTTAGTGGTGGCTGCAGGCATGGAGCCTCTCAGCTCCCATCCAATGGGAGCTAAGAGTCTCCATGTCTGCAGTGAGCACATCCCTCAGCCCATGCTGCTTCTTGAGCCATGGGAAGCAGGGCGGGCTGAGAAACAAGCTGGCTGCCAGCATGGAGCCTCACAGCAACCAATGGCTGGGGGCTGAAATGCTCTGTGCCTGTAGCCAGCATGTTCCTCAGCTGGCGCTGATACTGTTGAGCTGGGACTGGGAGTCTGTACGTTAGAGTTGGCTTATAAATGGGTCATTGACTTTTTAACATTTTTTTCCTGTGAGTTTGGGGGGGGTCGGCTTATGAACAAATGGGTTTATGTTCGAGTATATACACTATGTAGCCAAAGCTATGACATTGGGAGTAAAGTCAATGGTGTACAAAAGAGAATAATAGAAATGTGTCCTAGGATGTTTTTGTTCCTTACAATTGTAACACTGGCAGACCCCAGTTGTGTGCGGATGTAACCGAGCCTGACATGTCTGCAACATAATGTATAAGCTTCTTCCCCATGAGCTAAAAGCCAACTGGCTCTCAGCTAAGGCTGTACAGCAGACTCATTATCCTCTTTGTAAGTGGTCTTAGTGCCACTAGATGGGACAGAAAAGCACACCGAGAAGCTTCAGAACCTTCTCAGTTGAAATTCTGGATAAGCCCCCACTTGCAACACCAGCAGACCTATGTTTTAGCTCATGCCATAGAGACTCATGCTTTAAGCTCTAGAGATTCCAGATTCAATTCCACCAACAGTTGACTGGGGTCTGCTGCCATTACCCAATACACATTCCCTGAATATGGTTGTCAGAGATGCTGCCAGATGTTTGGTGTCAAATAGTTTATTTGACCTAGTGCAATGCGTATATGTGGTTGGTTTTAAGTTTAATGTGCCATTGGGACATTTTTCATGCCCATCTGCATTCTCTACTCTGAAACCATTGGGTCACACAAGGTGGGAGAGTCGAATTGATGCCTTGAAGCCTCTTCTGTCTGATTCTATGATACACTAACTGAAATTTCTGATGATACTACCCTAATAGGATCATCTGATTAGACAGCGCATGCAGATGCTATTGCAAATGGCATTTCCGATTTCAAATTTGTAGTTTCACTCATTTTGTGGCATGGTATCTTGTTTGAGATTAACCTTCCCAGTAAGAAACTTGGACATACATTCTGCTATACAATAGCTGCTACTGATTAAGAAGTTTCTGGAGAAATGCAGGCAGGATGAAGCATTTGAAAAGACACTAGTAGATGCTCATGATCTTGCTGAGGAATTTGAACTCCCAACATACTTCAAACCAGAACAAGCCCATATTCAGAGAAAGAAGCAACAGTTCACATATGAGGCAAAAGATGAATCAGTTCAGGATCCAAAACAAAAATTCAAAGTAAATTTCTGCTTTTCAGTCTTAGATACTGCAATCCAGTCAAAGAACGATTGGAACAGATGCAGCAGCTTGAGTCAATATTTGGTTTCCTCAACGATGTGCACTGTTTGCAAAATAAGACTTCAAAACAGATATTAGAACATTGCTTGAAGCCAGAGTTGGCATTACAACATGGAAATTCAAAAGATGTTGATGCAGTAGATTTGTACAGTGAACTGAAGGCTATTTCACAACAACTTCCAAGATATTTTACACCTTATGTTGTACTGAAGTTTATTTCAGAACACAGACTTACAGACAGTTTTCCCAACATCTTCATTGCTCTTTGAATTCTCTTGACACTTCTAGTTTCTGTTCCTAGTGAGGTGGGTAGCTTTTCAAAGTTAAAATTGATAAAGACAGACCTTTGTTCTTCCATGCTGAAAGAAAGATTTGTTGAACCTCACTAGAACACAAAATACCTTCAAAACTTTATTTCAAACCTTGTGCCCAATTTGCAAAAGCAAAACCACAAAAAGCAAAGTTCTAAATGTTTTCAAAAGTTGATGGCCCAGTGTAAAAGGCTTACAATTCAAACACAGACTTCATACAATATCAAGGCATAAAGATTTTCATAGCTTCCCAACAATCAGTTCCTTTGGAAGGAAGACAGTTGCAACTTGAAATGCAAATGTTTACAGTGCTGACCAGGAACCCTGTGTACAACTCAAAATGGTTAAAAACTTCAAAGTGTCAGCTACCGGCCAGTTTACCTTATTCTGTATAATTGTATTAGGATTAATGAAAAGTAGAAAAAAAATCAATAAAAAAATTATTTTTACATTGTTAATTTTGAATGCCAAGTAACTAATGGTAAAATTCCATTCTAGATTTCTCATTTTTTCTCTATATTGAATGTTGAAGGTGGGCATGCCAAAGTCATAGTTCACCTAAGATGCCAAAAACCACTGACCCAGCCCTGACTGTGAGTAATAGTGTGGGGAGAAATAAACATCATGGCTTCACTTACTGACGTATATATATGCAAAAAAGAGCTAGAATAATAAATATTAAGGTGATACTACTACTGCAAAGAGAATAGCAAGGGTAGACTCTACACCCATGTGGTGCCTGTCCATACAGTTCTCTTTACAGGATCAAGACAGATTAAATGCTGAAAAGTCAGGACATTCAAAAGGAATACAGTGGAGTGGAATATTTAGTTCTTTAAATGCTGTAAAAGGAGACATAAATTATAACAAGTATCTCAATTTCTTTAAAATGAGTTTGCTTGACAAAGGGAGAAATGAAATGTAATTGACTCACTTTATGAAGCTTATGGAAAATTCTGAACAAGAGGCATGAATATAAGATATAAAGCAATTTTTTCAAATGTGAATTAGGAGCCTATGTGCCACTGAACTCAATAGTGAGATTCCTAAATCACTGACACATTTACTTCTGCTATCAAAAATGCAGGTTGCACCTCTAAAAACCAGCATTCTCTGGTCCTGGACCAGAGAGCCCAGGAGCAACTAAGGGCAGAAGGGACAACAGGGGCTGAGGAAAATGGGGTCAGAACGAAGCTACAGGCACCACAGGACTGGGGCTGAAGCCACTGTAGCCTGCAGCAGCAGGTTGCATGGTTTCAAGATTAAACTAGATGGGTTTATGAAGGAGATGGTTTGATGAGATAACATGATCTTGGTAACTAATTGACCATTCATTATCAATGGGAAATAGGTCAATGGAAGGATGATAGGAGTTACTATAGAGAACTTTCTGGGTGTCTGGCTGGTGAGTCTTGCCCACATGCTCAGGGTTTAGCTGATCGCCATATTTGGGGTCGGGAAGGAATTTTACTCCAGGGTGGATTGGCAGAGGCCCTGGAGGTTTTTCGCCTTCCTCTGTAGCATGGGGTACAGATCACAGCTGGAGGATCTCTGCATCTTGGGGCCTTCAAAGTATTTGAAGACTTCAATATCTGAGATATAGGTGAGAGGATTATTCTAGGAGGGGTGGGTGAGATTCTGTGGCCTGCACTGTGCAGGGGGTCAGATTTGATGCTCATAATGCTCCCTTCTGACCTTAAAGTCTACGAGTCTATAAGCATGGGGCCAGAGCTGAAGACCTCTAGAGCTCCATGGCAGCTCGGGGCCAGAGTCTCCTGTTAATCCCCATGACAGCGGGGCCAGAGCCCTGCAGCAGTCCCCTGGAGCATGGAGCTGGGACTAGAGCCCCGCAGGACCCCCTAGAAACATGGGGCCAGGTTGGAGCCCTGCAGCAGCACAGGTTTGGGGCTGGGGCTGGAGTCTCTGGGCACCTCGTGTCAGCACAGGGCCAAAGCCCTGCAGCAGTCCCAGGGAACATGGAGCTGAGACTGAAGCCTCGGGGCAGACCCTGGGACCACAGGGGTGGGCCAGAGCAGAAGCCAGAGCCTGTGTCATTCGGAATCCAGCAGTAACTGGGAAAGCAGCCCAGCCAGTTTGGTGGGGGAGAGAGTGGCATAGTGCCTGCTTGGCTGCCTGCCAGTGGCAGATCTCCTTTGGTCCAGCAAATTATCTTCTTCAGGACTGGTCAGGTCCCCAGGGTGCCAGACAAGGGAGGTCCAACCTATATTTAATTCTTGAAAGTGTGGTGTGCCATGTTTTCCAAGCCTGTCACAGAAGACAATAGAGACATTTTAGATTTTGTCTCCTTTGAAGCCATTATGGTCTAGAATGCAAAAAATATACTTTTAAAATCTGTAATATTTGAGGTGTTTATCATCTGCTATGAGGAAGATCAACAGGGCAATTCTCTCTGTTTCAAGGGCATTATTTACTAGCTATTTACTAGAATTTAGTAGCTCAGAGCCACTGTAAGTGCCCAACATCTTATCCATGTCTGTATGAAGCCATTGGTATGTTAGTCATACAGGAATGTGAATTTAAAAAGATATAACGTAAAATCATAATGTGAATGCTGCAGATAGTTGTATAAAACTTGATACTTTTATGATGAACTAGAGCTGCATTTCTCAAATTGTGGGTCCCAACCCCCCAGGGGGTCACGAACAACTTAGAGGGGGGGTCACGGTATCACAAAGTTTGAGAACCCCTGAACTAGGGAGTTTAGAATTATTTCATCTGCATATGTTTCAGTTAATACAACCGTGACTTTTTAGTTTACTTCCTTTCCTCATAAAATTAGAATGCAATAAACTATTTTCTTAACATTCTTAACAGAAAAATTCATTTAAAAAAAGTTGCAATACTGTTCTGTGCAGTGATAACAAATCCAATACACACCAATTTTCAGCCTACAGGAAATTTTGTAACCAAGAGGTAAACAACTAGCTAGAAAAGAAATGCTGACAGTGACAGGTCTGTAACTATGCTGATGGTAACTTATGCTGCTGGAATAGTACCAACCGTGAAAAGTTTCTAAAACTGCCCTACTATTTCTGTCTTGTGTAATTACAGTACATACAAAAGCATTTCTCAACATAGAAAAAAGGCTAAACTTAGCTGCAGCAGACCTGTCATTTTGTCTCTTTTTCAGCATTTCTACTTTTCTTGGAGGTCATTTTTAATGAGTGCATAGCACCTGAAAAATCAGGTGCA